CACACCCACACCCACACCCATACCCACACCCCACACTCACACCCATACCCACACCCCACACTCACACCCACACCCACACCCCACACTCACACCACACCCACACATCCACATCCACACCCACACCCCAAAAAATGTATATTTCTGTTAATCAGTGTATAAAAAACAATAAATCGATGATTGACATTCAAGTATAAAGTAGTAAAATTTATCAGGAAGAGATTAGATCGTAACAGAACGAAAAAATCTAAGAGATATGCTATTAAAAAAAAACACGATTGAAAATATGATATAATAAACTAAAAAGACATAGATAAAAACAATGAATAGAAATCATCACACAAGAGAATCGACTATTTAAATTAATTAAAATCTGTATATTTTTTTTCTTAGATCATTATCAAATCTTTAAAATAACTACGATAGTTTTTTAATGATGATAGATTTGAATAGCTTGTAGCATGATGAAGATCAATAAACGAAATGTTGCTACGATGGGTGTAGTTATTTAAATCTTTGAGTAACTATTTATCTGCTTTTAATTAGCTATGAAATTCATTTCAATAGTTATGATAATGTTTAAGTAACTAACTGTTCTGTAACATCTTTTCATTTATTGTAATTAATTATTTTAAATCTAGTGTTACTTAAATCATTTAGTAGCTGTATGTTATTTGAAAACGTATCTCTTTTAAGAAGTTACGACCTGAACTACCAACAACAAAAATACTCTCCCATCAATCTTCTAGTATCCAATTGTTTTGATCCTTCGTTTCGAAATTCAACCAATTGATTTTGCTTGGAATATGACCGAGTATCGCGACCAAATTTCTATCACTCAGCTTCAATTCATACTTGATCGTGCGTCTCGTCTGACATCATTAGGCTTTGTTTAACAATCAGTAAATAGTCTAGAAAGGCTAATAAATTAGAGCAAGACTATATCGCTATATCAGTTGAATCTTGTATCAAATGGTGCATGTTTTCATGTTGACTCAAATAGAAAACACACGATTTTTCATTTCAATTTCTATTCATATATTTTTTTTCGAGTAAGTTTATCCAAATATTCACTTATTGTTTTGCATGATATTTTTTCTGAACTATTGACAATAGTCGTCCGAGATAACAATAGATAGATCACCATGCAAATTCGACCGATCATATACGATCATGTATGAAATTGTCATCTTTCTCGCGTCATGTTTATGAAAACGAAAAAGAACCAATATTTTCCTCCAGAATGTAAGCGAAACCATTCCGCGGCGATTTCAAATCGACGGTCGAATATATTTGACATAGAACATGAACTTATATTGAAGACAAAGCATCGGTCATGAGATAGAAAATGAAAAGGAGAGCAACGAATAACCATTTCCTTCATATTTTGTTCCAGTTTGTTATATATATGTATTCTCTCTTTCATTTCTAAGTTAGTCGTAATGATGTCCTTACGCATATGTACTGCTGAATCTTGTAAACGAGCTGCCAGCGCTCTCTGTATTAGCTGTGAACAAGATTTTTGCATCGTTCATTTCAATGAACATTCAGATTCACTCGTCATTCAATGTTTACAGTTGGCTGATGTAATTAACAAACTATTCGATCAAGTTAATAATATTTCGACATTTCGACCTGATTTTCTTATTGAACTTGACAAATGGTGTCAAGAAGCACATCGAGAAGTTAACAAATTTTGCGAAAAGAAAAAACAAGAATTTAAAGAAATTTTTCACAAAGAACAAGATCAACGGACAACTGAACTCGATCGATTACGAGGTCAAATTACTCAATTAATTTTAGAACAAGAAGTAACCGAAGACTTCATTGATTCGATCGACAACTCGATTCAATCTCTTCAACGTCAAATAGATCAATTTCAATCTGCTCATTTGACTCTTCGTCCACTAGTCATCGATGATGATCTCGTTGCTTTTCATCAACAAATATCAAGTTATAATGATCTATTGCCTTTACCGTCTCCACAGCGTACAATTCAGCTGGAAAACAATTGGTATTCTGTCGCCGCTAAAGACAATTTCCTCTTGGTGCAACACGATTCGAAACTATGCATATTGGATGAACAATTGAATGTCGTTAAAGAAACTCCATGGACTCATCATATTATTCTAGATATGTTCTGGTCAAAGCTACTCGCTCAATTTATTATAATTAGTTTTGAAGGCATTTTCGTTCTCGATGAAAACTCAATGATCATCAATCAATTGCCAATTGCTTGCCATAATAACAAGAAGACTTGGTATTGTGGCACGTGTACGAATAAGAATTTATTTCTCTCAGTTGAAGGTATCAGTTCATCTATCTACAAGTATACTCTTCTGCCATCAATTCAATTGATCAAAGAGTATCGATCACCTATATCCTGCAAAGAAGATGAACGTATTCAAGATTTATCATCAAGTAAAAATGTATTGGCTATCGTTATTAAAAATTACCGAAACGAAGTACACTTCGATTTGTGTTCATCAAGAACACTTGAACGACAATGGTCAATTGAACTCAATTGGATGACTGGTTCGTGTGCAAATCGATGTTGCTTGTTGAGACATGACGAATG